GCCCAGACAACAGCTCAGTACTTGGGGTGTCAAATTCAGGCAGCTAGAGAGCGACTGCTTCAGCCAGCAGAAGCAAAAATGCTCCCAATTCGGGCGAAATTTGACAGGGACCCAAAGCGACTGGGTTTCTTCCTTGCATGGGTGTTCACATATATGTAGATTTACGGAGGAATGCTACCTACTGATGTGGAGAAAATCCAGGCGGTCATGTTAGCCTTGGAAGGGGTAGCCGCTGACTGGATGGTCACCTTCTATAACTGTAACACACCTGAATTGCGGAATTTTAATCAGTTTATGACTCCACTCCGCAGATGCTTTGAGGACTGACTAGCTGATAAAAAAGCCCTGGAGCGTATAAAAACAGTAAAGCAGGGCAGACAACCAGTAGCAGAGTATACAGAAGAGTTAGAGAGTTAACTAGCTGCCTTCATTGGCCAGAGGACATCTTGGTAAGCTGCTTCCAGGATGGACTTAATGAGGACCTCTACAAAGCTTGTGTAGCCCGTGGGGCCCCAGGACGGTTATATGAATGGTGCCTGCTGGTGAAAGAGATAGAAATTGATCAACGTAAGCACTTACACTGCCTGGTGAAGTTAAATTTCACCCCACACTCAAAAAACCGAAGGGAACCCACATGAGCATTGTCTATCTTACCCCACGGCACTGCCTGTTTTAAATGTGAGAAAGAAGGGCATTGGGCCACACAATGTCGGGCAAAGATACGTACAAGGAGGGGAGATTGTCAATCGGCTGGTAGACCCTCGTGAACCCCACCACACCCTAAAGAGACCGCCATGAGGGCTGCTGAAGCCATCAACGTCTCTTGCCATCGCAACCGAGAAGGTTGAGCTATGGCCCCGCATTTTGAGGATCCTGGAGCTATGGAAGATGAAGAAGAGGATGACCCATTGGTGAGTGGGCCAATCGATCCAATAATGGTGCCCGTAAATCTGTCTATCCCCAATACCGGAAGGACCATGAAACTAGCTGCCTTATTAGACTCAGGCTGCACTCAGTGCATGATTGGCCCAGAACTAGTTAGGAAAATGGGAGTGCACCTTAGGAGACTAAAGACTCTGATCACATTTCACCAATTGGATGATTCTGTCGCAGGGGGATGCCTTCCAGCTTTGCCACTAGTCCCTTACACTTGATCTTGGAAACCACACAGAAACTCTAGCTTTTATTGTGGTCCCTGGAATGGAATGGCCACTAGTCTTGGGGTTAACATGGTTAAAAAATTGGAACCCCATGATGGATTGGAGGGAAGGGAGATTCCAGAAAAAAGAGACTCTAAACCCCTGTAACAATCTTGATAAAGGGGGTGAAACGAAACCGGAAGTTACTGCAGTCCTTAGTGATCCAGAGAGGCAAAGCCTTCCAATGGAGTACGGAGATTTGGCTGAGGCATTTAATGAGCAGAGGGCAGACAAACTTCCCCCTCATCTACCCACAGACTGCGCAAATGAAATCATCCCAGGGGCAAAGTGACCAAAGCCAAAAATGTACTCTATGACCCCTAGGGAACTGGACGAATTAAAAAAAATTATAGATAAGAATTTAGAGCAAGGGTTCGTTGAACCTACCAAACCTCGAGTGGCAGCCCCTGTATTATTCTGAGGAAAAAAAGATGGTTTTTTTCGTCTCTGCGTAGACTATACAAGCCTCAGTCTGTGTGGAAAATGTATATCCATTACCATGGATGAAGGACATGCTAGCACACCTGTCAAAGGGCAGAGTTTTCTCAAAGCTGATTTAAGGGAAGCATACTACCACATAAGAATTAGAGAAGGAGACGAGTGGAAGACCACATTTAATTGCCCCCCCGTGATGCTTCCAATTTAGAATCCTCTTATTCAGATTACAAGGCACACCTGCAGTTTTTATGCAGCTAACTAAGGAGATCTTACGTAAACACCTCTATAAAAGAGTCCTAGTTTATCTAGATGATATCCTCATATATACAGAATCCCAAGACAAACACACTAAGCTATTCAGGGCTATATTCGAGAAACTGTGCTCCACTAAACTGTATGCTAAATTATCAAAATGTGAATTTCACAAAAGTCACATTGACTATTTGGAGTATCACATATCGGACCAGGGAATAGAGATAGACCCAGAAAAGGTAAGAGCTGTATTAGACTGGGCTTCTCCTAAAACTCAAAAACAAATTCAAAGTTGTCTGGGGTTTGCGAACTTCTACAGGCAGTTTATTCCCTCATTCGCACAAATTGCTCTTCCTATTACAAATTTATTAAAAACTAAAGGGGAGAATAAACCAAAGCCTAGCAAACCTATCAGTTGGATGGGGGAGTGCCAAGCAGCATTTGAAAAACTAAAAACCCTTTTATCTATGGAACCAGTGTCGAAGCATCCAGACCCAGAGCAACCTTTTATAATACAAGCAGATGCTAGTGACATAGCCGTGAGTGCTGTATTACTACAGACGAACAAAGGGGGAGAGTTACAACCATGCACTTACACCTCCAAAAAACTTTCAGAGATAGAGCAAAGGTGGGCATCCTGGGAGAAGGAAGCCTATGCAGTACGGTGGGCGTTGCTAACTTGGAGACATTTTCTTGATGGGAATAAAATACTGTTCCAAGTACGGACAGATCATAAGAACCTAGAAGCAATGAAAACTCTTAGGAAACTTTCACCCAAGCTGGAAAGGTGGTCTCAATATTTTCGCCGTTTTAATTTTACTATCCACTACCTCCCTGGAGGGAAGGATTTTTTAGCTGACACTCTTTCTAGGTTACCTCAAAATAACAGCTAGAAAGGTGAGATCACTAAACCCTTCTTATATCCTCACGAATTAGCGGCTCCTGTTACCACCAGGGCCAAATCAAAATGGAAAGTTCCGGTGAATGAAATGTTTGCATAAATTCAAGTCAGCACTAGAAACTGATGAGTGGCACTGCAACCATAAAAATGTATGTAATATGAAGGATGGACTAGCATGGGTGGGGGAGAAAATCTATTTCCTGGCTGAAATGAGAATTAAGGTGATGCAGGCTGGACACAATTCAAAAATCGCCAGCCACTTTGGGTTTGTGAAAACATCACACTTGATTAAGAGACAATTTATTGCTAGCACTCAAAAAAGATATTGAGAGTTACGTAACCAGCTGCCCCAGATGTGCAGCAGTGAAACGGCACCAAGGGAAGAACCCAGGACTACTTCAACTGGTAGCAACCCCTTCAGCACCATGGAAAGAGATTTCCATGGACTTCATTGTGGAGCTACCCAAAAGTGCTGGTAACACGGTTATTTGAATATAATGATACAGTTCTATCTGATACATATTTTTCAATCAAATGATGGAGAACTAAGCTCTGATCTATGGTGCTTCTCCCCCCTCTAAACCTGGCTTGCTCTTCAGCAATCAAGTTCTCAAGATTTAGCTATTCCTTTAATTTATCTTTGAGATGTTTGGCATAGAGTTTGCTGATTATATTTAGTAGACTTATTTGGTCTATAATTGGCAGGGTCGTCTCTCTTTCCCTTTCTATAAATTGGGACCACAATTGCCAAGCTCCAATTCTCTGGGACATGGCCAATGGAGTCAATATAGATGAATAGCGCCACCAAGACTGGTATCCATCACTCCATATTGTTCTTTAGTAGTTCAGCAGAAATGAAATCAGCTTCTGGAGGCTTCCTAGTCCTGAGTTGGCCAATGAGGGATTTAATTTCAGACTCTGAAACTGAAGGCCACTCAAATAAATCCATCATTGTATACCTTATTATCTTGTTGGAGGGGTCTTCATTCATTCTCTGAAAGTGAACTTCCTAGGTTGTAGGAGGTATATGGGAGTCTAATGTGGTATAGATTCTTTCTGAGTGGCAAGCTATTAGACACCAGAATAAAGAATAGTTCTTTTGTTTTGCTGCCTCAGTAAGCTGTTCCAAGGAAGACCTTGTGTCTTGTCTCTTCTTGAGTTCAATCAATTGCTTAAATTGTTTTTTGATTGTGAGTACATGTTTAACAGTTGTTTTATTGCCATTTCCAGTCTCACTTTTGTACACTTTATATGCCAAGCTAAGAGCTTTCTTGGCTTCTACACAATCCTTATCAAACCATGGTTTGAAGGCGATGCAGGGCCTCTTAGCTGAGAAGTTTCGGTCATGTGCTAGTAGTGGTTGTAGCTTATGAACTATGTTTTTATATAGCTCTAGTAAATCTTGAGTAGGGTTGACTGATATAAAGGCTGAGCGGATTTTTTGAAAGTTGTCCTCTGATAGGGCTCTCCTCACCTTCTGGTCAAGTTGTTGGGTCCATTTGAGTAAAATATGATGTCTAAGAATTTAATATGTCATTGACCTCTTGTAATTAAATTAAGTTTTGCTCAGTGCAGCAAAGTTGCCAAAAGTTATCAAGGCGAAGATACATTAGATCAGTGGTTCTCAACCTTTTTATACGGCGACCCCGGTCATAAGCAGGCGGCGTGCATGTGCGGCGCCACCCCCTGCACGGCACGTATGCGTGGCGCCCCCCTGCGCGGCACGCATGCGTGGCGCCGCCCCGCTGCGCGGCGCCCCCATGCACCGCCCCCTTGCGTAGTGCGCATGTGTGGCACCGTCCCCTGCGCAGTGCGCATGCGTGGCACTGCCCCCGTGTGGCGCGCATGCGCGGCGTCACTCCCATGCACCGCCCCCTGCGCCAGCTGACGAAAAAAATGGCGGATCGCGTTGTTTGGCGACCCCCGTGAAATGGTAGTTCGACCCCAAATGGGGTCGCAACCCACAGGTTGAGAACCGCTGCATTAGATAGATGCCTTCCTTTGCCAGCAAGATATTTTATATCTGTTGCTATCAAAACCTTTGTAAGGACATAAGCAGAAATAAAATATAGTAATCTTCATGGTAACAAAATTGGACATTAATTTAAATGATACATCTTTTAATGGCTTCTCATGCAAATGGTTGAAAAAGGAAGAATTCTTGTGGCACCACAATAATAAAGCATGCATGCACACCACACATATTATACCTTTGCAAGGGCTTCTTCAGATACAGCCAGTTTCTCTTGCCACACCTGCTGTTCCTCTACCAACCGCTTCTGCAAGTCCTTGAGCATTCTTTCCTATGATTTTGAAGAAGAAATGAAGATGAAGAAACAAGACATTTACTAAGATAGGTTCATTCTATCATTGTTTGGGGACACATGTTAAGTAGGCTTGCTTACCAACTTTAGCAGAAATATTTTAGCCAGTTTGGGAACGTAGATACAATAAAAAATATATTTACTCCACTAATACAGAACATATAGTAGTAGATCATGTGTGTCCAGAAGAAAACAAGTTATTGGTAGATTTTTTACCCCGCCTTTTTTATATATAATTCAAGGCAGCAAATATTCTCCTGCCTCCTAATTTCCTTGGAACAACAACTTTATGAGGTAGATTGGGCTGAAAGACTGGCCCAAAGTCAGGGAGGCCTAAAACTCAAAAGTCTTCTGATTTCTAGCCCACCATCTTGTATAATGCACCAAACTGGTTCTCTGTGTGAATAGAACAGAACAGAACAGAATAGAATAGAACAGTGGACTACCGGTTTGCTGATGCAGCCGTCATGGATGCTGGAAGGCGAACTCCATCTTCCACATCTGATTTTGCACCACTGGGGGACCCTGAAAAGGGTCGAAAGTCGCTCTGTAAGGGCGACAAGCAAGGAGGGGACTCCCGCTTGATTGCAGGAGGGTGGTGGACCTTCTGCTTGATCTGGGGCAGTCCTCCAAACCAGCAAACAAAAGACCGGCCATAGAAATATGGCCCGTCACTAGGCTTCAGACAGCTGAAGTCAAACTTACCACCAGGCACCTATAAAGTAGCGCGGATGAGACTGGGTGAGATCTGAACCTCTCTTCAATCCTATTTTTTCCACCTGTATAAGCTGCCCAAAGTATTTTCTCCCCTGTGGAGAGAGGGAAGGGAAATTCCATTCCATCCTCTAAAAACAGTGGTGATTGACTATCCAGGGGAGTTTAAAACGCTGAAAGAATAACCTGATTCTAACTGGATTTCTATCTTTCTAAAATTTGAGGACTAAAAGAATTCTTATTCTTATTGAAGATTTGGGTTTTTACTTACAAAAAAGAAGTAAAATTGGAAAAAGAATTATAAAAATTTTGGACTTAAAAAAAACTTAAACAGTATGGGCGACATCTTGTGGCTAAACCTGATATTACAACTTGTTATTGTCTAAAAGAGACTTGGCTTGAAGTCCAGACTATAGATAAGACTTTTGCAACCTTGGCAGATATCAGCTGTGAGAAGCCCAGCTGAGTTCTATACTCAGTGGCAGAATTATTTTCATTTTCTGATTGTAAAGTTTTCAATTTAATACATCACTAAGAGAACATGGATGAGGATCAGGAACAGATTCTCCTTATGTTGAAAGCAATTTATGAAACTATTCTTACAACTACTGATGAAATAAGAAGCTACAGAAAAGAACAAGATGTTAGCCTAGATCCGTGGTAGTGAACCTATGGCACATGTGCCACAGGTGGCATGCAGAGCCCTCTCTGTGGGCATGCATGCCATCGCCCCACTCCTAGGGCTTCAGCTGGGTTTTATAAAACCTTTTCGCTTTAGGCCTCTGCTGCCATGTGCAAAAAAAAAAAAGGTTTAACCAATCAATCAATTTCAACTTCTCGCGGGAAAAAAAAAGATCTCGCAAAGTTGGAATGGATTGATTGAACTTTTTAGTCCCACCCAGTCTGCCATTACCACTGCAGCCACACCCATCCAATGGGCCACGTCCACCCAATTGGCCACACCCACCCAATGGGCCACACCCACCAGGCACCCGACGATACATAAGTGGGTTTTGGGTTGCAGTTTGGGCACTTGGTCTCTAAAAGGTTCACCATCACTGGCCTAGATATAAGAACCCAAACATGGATTACAACTAAAGAATCAACTACACAGAATATAATAGAAGAAGTGGAACAATCAAATACTATGTTAGAAGATTCAACTGATCAACAAACACAGTTAATGGAAAACCCAGAAAAAGGACTGACAACATTGAAAATGGAAAAGACTTTCTATATAAACCAGAAGAAACCTGAGGATCAAGAAGAAGAACAGATTGAAGGGAAGATAAACTTTTCAGGACAACTACGTCGAGATGGAAAAATAGAGGGACAATTTGTTAGTTCTTCCAAAAAAATGGCAACTGGATGGCCTTTTTTATCTCAAACAATATATATATATAATAACAGAGGGAGATCTATTTGATGATTTAAAAGCATGGATATGGAAGGTGAGTTGGCAAAGAAAGCAAGCTAGAATAAGGCTGAAGAAAATTGGGGGTTTTGACTTATTAGTGAGGATTAAAATAGAATATACTCAAATAGACAAGATGTGTACTTTGAATACTAGATTTTGTCATGAACTGAGACAAAGAAAACTTTGGTCATTTAAAACTTGGAAGTATAAATATTAAAAGTTAAATTTGAATATTGATTTGTTTACAAATGTTGAATGTAAAAGTAATTAAGATATATATAAGTTAAAAATCTATTGATAAATGTAATAAACATGTTTTTACTTAGCTTATATAATAAGAACTGTACTAGCTTAAATATGAGATAGTAGACATTAAGAGAAAAAGAGACAAAGTATTTGATGTTGAAAAAAGATAAATTTTGGTTACTAAATTTAAGACATTTGGAAATTAATAGAAAATAAAAATGTTATACTGTATTATTAATTAGATGATGTAAGATGGTGAGAAATAGTATATTCAAATAGATAAGATGTATATCCTGAATATTAGACTTTGTGATGAATTGTGATAAAGGGAACTTTGGCTACTTAAAACTTGGAAATTATAAATATTAAATGTTAAATTTAAACATTAATGGGAAACTAAAAATTGGGAAAAAGTAATTAGGACATTGATTGTCTATAAAGACTGAATGTTAAAATAATTTGGATATGTGTAAGCTAAAAATTATTGATAAATGTAAGAATATTATTTTTATTTAATTGAGAATTAATTGTATTAGTTTAAACACAAGACAGTAAATACTAAGGGGAAAAGAGAGGAAATATTTAATGTGGTAGTTTGAGATTGGTACTAAAAGATACTTGTATGTTATTGAATTATCGATTAACTCAGCTGCCACATTGCTTTTTAAATACTTAAATGTAAAATTAGAAAATCAATAAAACATTAAAAAAATAGAACAGAACAGAATCTGGAAGAGACTTTGAAGGTCTTCTAGTCCAGCCCCTTGCTTGAGCAGGAGAACCTATACCAGGGGTCTGCAACCTTAAACACTCAAAGAACCACTTGGACCTGTTTCCCAGAGAAAAGAAAACACTGGGAGCTGCAAAACATGTGTGCGCACGTGCGCACGAGGGGAGGGAGCTTGATTTAAGAGTTTAATTAAAAAGAAATAGAGGCTGCTGTGCATGAGTTCTCTCTCCTGTTTCTCTCTCTCTCTTTCCTCTCCCTCTCTCTCTCTTTCTCTTTCCTCTCCCTCTCTCTTTCTCTCTCTTTCTCTCTCTTTCTCTTTCTCTCTTTCCCCCCTCTCTCTCTTTCCTCTCCCCCTCTTTCTTTCTCTTTCTCTCTCCCTCTCTCCTCTCCGTCTCTTTCTCTTTTTCTCTCTTCCTCTTTTTCTCTCCCTCTCTCTTTTTCTCTCTCCCTCTTTTTCTCTCTCCCTCTTTCTCTCCCTTTCTTTCCTCTCCCCCCTCTTTCTCTCTTTCTCTTTCTTTCTCTTTCCTCTCCCCCTCTCTTTCTCTCTCTTTCTCTCTCCCTCTCCCTTTCTGTCTTTCCTCTCTCTCTCTTTCTCTCCCTCTCTTTCTCCTCCCCTCTCCCTCTCTCCAATCTTCTGCTTACCTGGCAAGCTGGCTTCAAGCTATTCTCCAACAAGCTGACACGCATTGTTATTGGGCTGGCTCTCTCCTGCCCTTCCTGCTTCCTGCAAAGACACAGCCAAGGCAGGAGCCCTGCCCAATAAGCTTGTCAGCTCTTCAGAAAATAGGGAGAGAGAGAGAGAGAGAGAGAGAGAGAGAGAGAGAGAGAGAGAGAAGGGAAGCACAAGTGCCTCTCTCCGTCTCTGTCTCTCTCTCTCTCTGCAAATGGCAGAGGAGGCTGGGAACTGCAGGAGAAGGCTCAAAGAGCCACATGTGGCTCCGTAGCTGCAAGTTGCTGACCTGTGACCTATACCATCTCAGACAAATGATTTTCCAGTCTCTTCTTAAAAACCTCCAGTGATGGAGCGCTCACAATTTCTGAAGGCAAGCTCTTCCACTGGTTAATTGTCCTAACTGTCAGGAAGTTTCTCTTTAATTCCAGGTTGTTTCTCTCTTTGGTCAAATGTTAGGGAACTTCATCAGTGCTAATGGGAAATTAGAAACAATTTATTTGTTCAGATAGACAAATGCAGTTTTGCTTACCGTCTCTGTGAGAATATTCCTATACTGATCACATTTTGCTTGTAGTGTGCGCAGTGCCTCATTTGTTTCTCTTAATGAAATTGTCAGGTCCTTAAAAAAGTGTGATAATACATCATTAAAAAAGTAACACAAACAAATTTAGAAAAACAATCATTTTAAGAATTATGTATAACAATTTTTTTCCTTCTGGTTGCAAAAATGATATATAAGTAGAGATGAAAGGAATGGAGTTGGGAAAGTTGCTGTTCATATTGATTTATAGCTATTCCCTCATATGAATTATGAATATCAAGGAAAATACTGTTACTTCATCCTCCCATTTAATATTTAAAGTGACTTTTGTTAATAAGTCAGCGGACTTTGCCTTCTAAAAGCAGTTTTCTTTTAAGTTTCATTGTTATATATAGAAAGATTCCTGGTGTTCTCAGTGATAATATTTGTTGTTCAAATATTATTTCTATTTCACTTGTATCTTCAGCATTGATGAACTAAAAATGGGTAGAAATATTGGAGATACTGATAGAAGAGAATAGTTGTAGCTCAGGTTGAACTGTGGATCTTGGTGTTCTCTGAGCTTGGTTGTTTTCTTGCAGATGTTTCATTACCAAATTGGCAACATCATCAGTGCTTACTGTAGTAGTGAGTGATGTAATTTCTGCTTAATCAAAAAGAAACAGAAAGCCCAAAACACTGCCTTACCAGCAATTAATACCGAGATGAGCAGAGATCAACACCAAGATTAACATTAGCCCAACAATCAAGAAGCAAATAATAATCAAGGAACTGCAAAACAGCTAACAATAAACAAGAGCCCAATCAAGAAATCACCAAGACCACCCCCACCAACTTTTATATGCTGAAAGTGTATGTTATGATCCAGGTTGTTTAGGCAGATGCGGGCTTCAATAAAGTCCTTTATTGCTCTGCTATCCCATGACAAATGGCTCTACAATGGCCGGTAAAGTTCTACCCCAAACTTTCCCGAAGGCAGTTACCCATAGTCAGTGCAACACAGTCCCACAAACTAAATCCAATATTCACCAGAGCTGATTTACAAGGGAGGGGGGAAATTTGTGGTCCAAAAACAAGGTACCTCCTCACAGGTATGGCCCTTGCTATTTCTCTCCGAAAGCTCTTAAGCTTGGCTGGACACTTGGCAGTCATACGCCCTGGGCCCTTGCATACAAAAAAAATCATTTGTGGGCTTCCGGTTTTGCACAGTTATTGCAACAGCCGAGGGATTGTGGGGCTCTGCACCCTACGGCTGATTTCTTTCTGGGGACCCTCAATGGGCCAACAGCCACCCGGAGAGGTGGCAAAGAAGGAGGGAAGCCACGCCGAGCCTAAGGAGATGGTGGTCAATCCGGACACCTGGGGAAAGCTCTCCAGAAACCAACAGAAGAAAGGCTAGCATCATTCATGAGTCTAGCCCAAGCTACAGGCAGCCAAAGCCAAAATTAAGCGATTGTAAACAGCGTGATTGAACTGGGTAAGAATATTGATTCTTTCTCTTCTATCTGATTTCCTGGAAAAAAAAAAAAGAAAAATCCCCAGAAGTAAAAATCTTCCAAAAGTGAGAGGGGGGGTCTTTGCTCCACCCTCTTCTAAACAGAAGTGGCAAATTAAATTTATGGTGAATAAAAATACATGGAAATAAAATTAATATAAGATTTAACCTTGGAAAAAGTGAAATCGATGGAATTTATTAAGAGTTTCCTGGCAAAAGATTATTGACAGAGATAAATGGCTTATTTGTTTTGAAAAGTAAAAGATGGACTGGTGCTGACATTTAGTGGTGGATGAAAATACTGCACTAAATATACAGCCCAGGAAAAAAACTTGTTATTGTGACCTTCAAAGCTTTAACCAAACAAAGAACTGCTGTAATAAAAGAAAAGAAAACATTGTGGACTATTTCTATAAAAATTAGAAAAAAAAATTGACCTTCCTGGACTATAAATATTTTTTAAACTGTAACTTTAAAGCAATTGGCAGAGAAAGGATATTTGCTCATTATGGAACATCAGAGTCTGCAGAAAGAATATATCAAGAAAAAATAAATACTTTCCAGGAGGAAATGTATGTTATGTTACAACAAATACAAATGACATTAATTTCAAACCATGAGGAAATTAAAAATGAATTTGAAAATTTAAATGAATGCATTCTCAATTTAACGTCATAACAAATAAAGGATCAGAAAACAAAGAGAGAGAGATCATGTAAAGCAAAAAACTGAATATAACTTTAAGATGGAATTTAATAATAGAAAGATTCAGATGGACAAAAACTTCCAGCAAATACTGGACATGGAAAAGATAACCTACACATCAAGAATTTGAAAGAAAAAAGATGATGGGAAAAACTAAGAGAGAAAGAATGAAAAAATCTCTGAGGAATATCTTCACAAAAATACTTTAATTGGAACTTCCTGTGGTGATCGCTGCACTGATGGAGGCTTTTTTCTTAGCCTCCTGTCTTGGAAATGTGTAAAAGCCGGCAAAACAGCGTCGATCAGCTGTTTTGCGGCTTGAAACCTTCCTCCCGGGCAAAGGGAGGGAGGTGAGTATTTCCAGATAGAAATTGAGCTCCTCTAGTCTCCCGAAGTTTTTTTTGGGGGGGGAGACGAAGGGTGACAGCTCTTTCGAAGTCTGGATTGTCTCCGCATTCCAGGAAGCCTTTGTTCTCCGGAACGCAGCCAGACATAACCTCCACATCTGCTGCTTAAAGAGAATTGTGAGTAATATTTAAATCAGACAGAGTTGTTCAGGAGGACTTGAATTGTGATTTTGAATTTCTACTTTAACTCAAGAAAGAATTAATATCTTTTCCAGTTAATTATTCTAACAAAGGGAGTGAAAGGAAAAAATGGCGGAGGAATCCTGTTGTGGAGGAATTTTGCTTCTTTGTCTGAGAACTTTTACTTTTGCTTGGTAACAAAGTCTCTAAAATAACTGACTCTGCCCTTTTTTATGGGGGAATTGTTTTTATTATTCCTCTATTTTGTCTTGTTATAAGAATTGGCTTTTTTCTTTTCTTTATTCTTCAATTCTTTTTTCTCTTTTTTTCTTTTAAATGGCTTCAAAACGTCATGCAATTTCTTCTTTGCCTAAAGTTTCAATTTCCTCTCCAGTAACACAGACTACACAGCAAACTAAGCCAAAGTCTCCACCACCCTCCCCACCTCCAGCATTTACACTTAAAGATATACAGAATGTGGTTCAGAATTCTTTGGAGAAAGCTATACAAAAGATTAGATCTGAGACAGAAGAGCTTTTGGAGGCAAAAAATCATGAGATGAGGGAAGATATTCTGTTGGCTGTTAAGGGGCTTGCAGCCCATGTAGAAAGGCTGGATGACAGAGTGGATGAAGTGGTTGGAAATGTTGAAAGATTGGAAGGAAGAATTGAAAGAGTTGAAAATAATGTGGATGCAGCACAGAATGAAATTGTAATGTCACAATATAGAGACATGGAGTTTGCTTTGAGAATAAGAGGGTTGAAAGAGAATGTGAAAGAGAATTTGAAAGAAGAGATTGCTGCAGATTGGCATCTATTTTAGGATGTGGAATTGAAGAAATGTTGAGAGATATTGAAAAAATCTTTAGAGTAAATTAGTGGATTATGAAGCAGAGAAATTTACTAAGAGATGTGGTTATCTATTTTTCTAGAAGATCACTTCGTAATGAAATTATACAAGCCTTTTATAACCAAAGATTTCAAATTGCAGCTCAAGACGTCATAATTTTAAAAGAAAGGATTTTGCTTTTTTTGGCTGAGGAGCTCAAGAAGTGGCAAATTCAATTTAGATGGGATGTAACTGTTGGCATAGTGGTGAATTATGTTGGAACACGTTATAGATTATATACAATTTTAAAAGCAAGAGATTTTTATGTTTCTGTGCTGAAAGCAGGCGCACCACCATCTCCAAGATCTAGAAGAAATGAAAGTAAGTTTGAAGGACAGTTGGCTGCAGGATCTAGGTCACCAACAGGAGAAGAGTTGGCTGAATCTATGCAACAGTGTTTGGAGATAAGAGAAGACCCAAGAGAACAGAGAATGACTCGTGCAGCTCATAAACGTAGAAAAAAAGAACAACAAAAGGTAGATTCTGGAGTTACAACACAGGTGGCTTCCTCTGAGCCAGTGGGAGGAACAAGACCGAAGAGGTCCTCAACTGCAGATTTAGATGCAGTGTTCCAAAGGCTTCAAGCCATGAGACATGGCAAAGTTTCTGACATGGAATGTTAATGGCTTGAATTCACCACAGAAAAGAAAGAAAGTATTTTACTATTTGAAACAACACAAGAATGATGTTATATGTATGCAAGAGACTCATATTGCTTTAAAAGATGAAAAATATTTGATTAACTCTTGGCTGGGAGTACATTTCATAGCCTCTGCTCTGCAGAAAAAAGCAGGTGTAGTTATTTATGTGAGGAAAGACTTATCACCAAAGTTAATTGGTTCTGACCCACTAGGAAGATATGTTATTATTGACTTATTAAATAGCAAGAGAAGTCTTGTCATTGGACTATATGCTCCTAACCAGCAACAAAACATTTTTATAAGATGTTACATCAGAAAATAGTTCAATTGGATGACAAATAAGTAATTATGATGGGAGATTGGAATGGTGTTTTAGATTCAAGTAAAGACAAGAAGGGTTCTTTTAAATCTCCTAATCATGCAAAATTACCTAAATCTTTTTTTGACTTGAAGGATGATTTGGAACTTCAAGATATTTGGCGTGAACGGAATATGGAAGAAAAAGACTTTACCTTCTTTTCGGACAGGCATCAGTCTATTCCAGAATTTTTTTTTAAATTACTAATAATCTTTTTTCTAGGGTGAAGAATGCTAAGATATTTCCAAGAATATTGTCAGATCATAGTCCTGTATGGATGGAGTTATCTACTGAAGACGGGAATAGAAGGACTTGGAGATTGAATGAAAATTTATTTAGATTTGAGGGGAATGTATAGAGATGCAGAGATTATTTAAAGGATTTTTTTTCTTTTGAATATGCATAAGGGTACTTCGATGCCAATGGTATGGGACGCCAGTAAAGCATATATGAGAGGGGTCTTG